CCCAACTTCCAAACTGGCTCTCTGAGCCTTGGTTTCCTCATCCATGAGATGAGCAGGACAACATGCACACATGCCACCTCCTGAGGTGTGAGGACACCGAGCCATGCCTGCACTACAAGGTCATCAACATCATTACCCTAATTCTGAGTGTGACCAGTATAATGCCAGTCCCCCCACTTTGCTCGTAGACCTGGGGACCACTTCTACAACACACTCATTGAGGCAGAGATTTTGGTCCTCTTATTTTGATTCACAGACAGACCGCCTGAATTAGGACACCTGGAATACCTTAAAAGAAAGCTACTGAGACTATGCTGAGAGGAAGAAGGGTATCTGGGTTCCAAAGTCATGGGATCCCCTGGCTTCCAGACAAAGTGCAGTCCTGGGACCAGCAGCACCTGCACCCCCTGGGAATTGGTCAGAAATCTAAATTCTTGGTCCCACCTGAGAATCAGAAACACTGGGGAGAGGCCATCACCTGTTTTTCATAAGCCCTCAAGAGTTCTGACACTTACATTTGAGAACCACTGCCTTAGGGAAACCAGGCCATACACAGATAAGTAGGATAGGCCTCCTTGAAGAAATAGAGCCTAGAATGTAGCCATAGAAATGTGTATTCAAAAACTGACCCAGATGACACTAGTGGCAGGTAACTCTATGCTAGGAACCTAACAGGACACATGCCCTGGTGGCACAGGCCTCAGTGGCATGGGCCTAGCACTCTAATGATGAGGGCTCACTCCAACAGCCCATCAGCAACCAGAAGCTAACCCACTGGCATGCAGAGCCCTCACCTTGTGGACAAAACGGGCCAGATTCTCCACTAAAGAGGACAAGGGATAATAGGGACGGGGTGAGAAAGTACTCCCTCATGAAGCTTTGCAAATGGCTGTCAGGAATCAGAGCAGGAGTCCTAGGGTCTTGTGCAGGAGAAGCTGCTGCCGGCTGCAGCTCAGCCTTCATCCAGCACCTGCGTTACTCACAGTGCATCCCCACAGCAACGCGCTGGGCAGCAATAACTGCCTTTCCTATTGCCATGAGCATCACGTGGGTGACAGTGCAGGTGACAGACACAGGTGTGCAGTTTAGTGGTTACACTCCTTGCTCCCCTGAAAAAGGACCTGAGGCAAGCAGAGTGGAGCCACTGTCCTGTACTGGGGTGTTGTGTGTGGCTTCGATGTGACCGAAACAAAACTAATCCAAGAGCAGAGCCTGCTCTGCGATTCATCCACATTCAAAGGCAGAAATGATGCCATTTTGCAGTTTTTTTCTCTTTCTAGGAATGGCATGATGCAAGATAGATTCTGGCCAAGGAAGCACTGTACTTAGGAGGAGGAAGACATTACATCAGTCTTCAGCAATGCTTCACCTGGACACCTCATCTTTTCCTCAAAGACATCTCTGCTTTCTGCCTCTGTCACCTTCCTCCACCAAAGCTCGAAATCCTTAGCTCTCCTCAAGCATAAGTCCCCTGCCCTCAAGTTGCTTGGCCTGATTAGGAAGACGAACAAGTAAACAGGCAACTACAGTAAAGTGACCTGAACGCCAGAGGTGTGGAATAGGAGTGGGGTGGGGCGGGGGTGGGGTGTACAGTTCACAAAGGCAGGAAGACAGCCCAAAGGGTCAGAGAGTTCATGAAGGAGGCCAAGCTGCAGGGGGGGTATCCACCAAGCAGATATCAGTATTTACTTGTTTACATATCACCTCCCCGGGCAGGGCCTGTGATTTAGGTGGACTGTATCCTTTCTGCCTTGCACAGAAATGTTTATTGATATGGAGGCATTAGATTACCATGGTTTAGGACATTAGCCCTCAAGTCAGCCATCGCCTCTGTACTCACCAGATAACCTCTGGTTCCTTTCCAGCAGCTTTGAATGTCTGCTCTATGTATACTACTGCGACAGACTAGTGTTGGAAGAAAGATGATGCATATGCCCTGTAGCTCATCCTCAAGTAAGTGAGAAAGGAACTTAGGTAACTAACAGTATGCAGCTTTAAAAACTGAGAGAGTGACATCACAGAGAAGGCCAGGTGGCCAACCAGACAACCCCCCACAGTGGGCAATACCTTAGTCCCCTCAGTGGTCTACAAGTCAGAAACACAAGGTTCTCAGTCCATACAGTTAATCTTGCTCAAGGGGGCTAATTCACGCTGAACAAACTCACAGACACTGATGTCCAAACGACCAGAAAGCCAATTTACTTACTTTCCTTTCCAGCAGCTATTCATGTCTGCCATCCAGGGCATGTGCTGAAAAGTATAATTCATGCACTCTTTTGACATGGATATCATAAGCACCAAGGGTCCTTTATTTAATAAACTGTGAGCACTTGATTGGGGGAAATAAGGCAGCCAAATGAGGTGGAGACCCAGAAATGGGAGGCAGAATTGTGCAATGAGCTTGGCGTCAAACAAGCTGGAGTTCAAACACTGTCCACCATTTATTAGACAGGTGACTTGCAGAAAATTGCATAATCTTCCTGAGTCTCTTTCCTCACCGCTGTTGTTGGGCATAACAACACCCTCTTGCAAAACTGTTAAAAAAAATTAAATGGGATTACGTATGTAAACTTCCTAGTTTTACTTACATTTATATTTATCTGGAGAGGTTGTGCCATATAATGGCTAAAGGAACAGACTTGGGAATCACACAGATCTGGGTTTAAATCCTAGCTCTGCCACTTACTAGGCATATGATCTTGAGTAAGTTGCTTTATTTTTTCCACTAAGCTTCATTTGCATAAATTTGCTCATTTGCAAAATGGGAATAAAAATTCTTCTGTGTCTAAGAAGTAAATAAGACAACATTCAAAGGACTGAGCAAATTTCTACGATATGACACAAATTCAACAAATGGTATGAATACTTAAGTACCATCTTTAAATGGTAAAAATGAGTAATTTTTAAAAGTTGTCCATGATTATATACAAATGAGTGGTACACATACTAAAAATTAGTTAAAATTAACACAAACTTCTTTAATAAAATTAAAAATTGGGCCAAACATACAAAAAAATTAGTCACTTTGTATTTAGTCATTAAAACACTCTTCTGAGGAGGTAGGCCTTTTACCTCAGACTGGTTTTATGCTCATATTTTCCAACAGTTTCTAAAATAATGTCATTTGTGTGCAGCCAAGCAAAAACTCAAATGTCTCAATACTGCTAAGTCATGCTCCAGAGTGAAACATAAGCAGCTCTCTGGGATCTGCCTTTCCAGTTTGATGGGAACCCTGGTACCCGCAAAGCAGTATACATTTGGTTTAACAATTATACAATGATGTATATACACTGTGTGATTATAGCAAACGTCCTTGCAGTAAAAGTCACAAATCACTTCTCTCAGTTCTGGACTGTGCCTTTAATTTATTCTCCCCACTGACCCTGTCAACTTTTAAATGACTTACGAAGCTTATAAATCATGGAAGAGTACGCTCGGATTTTGATTTTTTTTTTTTTTTCCTTTTTGTCTTTTTTCATGTCCGGCAATGGACCGCAACCCTCAGTGTCGCGCCCATACCGGACCGGGACCGGCAATGGGATCGCAACCCTCGGTGCTGCGCCCGCCCCTCGCTCAGCCAGTGAGCGGGAACCGGTCTGTATGTGGGATCCGAACCCTCGGAGGGAGCGCCTCCGCGCTTCCAAACGGCCCACTGTAGCAGTGTGCCACTGGGCCGGCCCTCGGATTTTGATTTTAAAAAAAACCAATCTATCAGTTCTAACTTTGCAAATTCGACTGGTCTACAACAAAAGGCAGCCCCTCACCCTCCCCTCAACACTGCTGTCTTATCCAGATTTAGGGGGCGGACATCACTGCTCAGACCTTTGCCATGACTGCTTTCAGACCCCTGGAGAGCAGGCCGGAACCAAGGGCTCTCGCTCGACTGCAGTCAGTATGTCCTCCCATTGCAGGGTGGGCTCTGGGTGCGTTTTAAGTCTCAACGGGAATTTTTACACAAAATCTAAGTTTCTGAAAGAATGCGAAAGTTTCGACAGGACGAAAATGTGATAGGTTCTTTCTAAACAGGAATCATTTTCAAGATACAGTGCAGCCTCGGTGCAAACACCTGCCCTGGGGTACGGGCTGCCCTGCAGTGAATTCACGATTTGTAAAGTGGCGGTGGGCTGGACGTGTGCCAACCCGAGGTGACGCTTCCTTTCAGCAAAGTGAACAGAGCACTCGGAGAGGACACTTCTCCAGCACTCAGGGGAGATGGAGACCCCACCAACCCCGGAGCTACCGCTAACTTGGCGCCACAAGCGTGGGGGAGCGCCCCGCCGAGCTAAGCGGGGGGCGGGGGCGCGCGGCGATAACCCGGGATGGGGACCCCGCGACAGGCCGGCTTGTCTGTCGGTGGCCACGGTCACCGCAGCCACCCCATCGCGCGTCTCAGATAAAAGGCAGCACCTGGGATGAAAGGCCCAAGCCTTGGGAGGGGGAAGGAGAAACAACTCATTCCTCGAGACCCGACGACGGGCGTCCCGGGAGACAGGACAGAGACGAGCCCGCGAGTCAGGGTGCGCGCCCGCCGGGGGCAAATCAATGGGGGAGCCCTCTCCCGAGGAAGCCGGCGGCCCGCGGAGACGCGGCCCGGAGAGCGGCTTCTCGCCTGCGGCTCCGAGCGCGACGGCCCCGCGCGGCCGGGAGTCATCGCGGCGCCGCGCCCAGGCCCGAGCCA